GTTTAAGTTTTTGATATATATATATATAAACGAATAAGTAAAGTATTGTAGCATCTTTTCTCACTCGAATAGCAACTTGCGGCGTACCTGAAAACTTTACTTACATCCTAGATTTGATTTTCATTTACAAAAATATTTACCGTCCCTTTTATAAGTTACGGAATGAACTTTAAGACAAATATTTATGTCATTGCTATAATGGCTAGGTTTAAAAAATGCTTGTTGTTTGATAAATATGTTAAATTGAATTTAATAAAATGCAAAACTAGTAACAAAATATTATTTTTTTTTTGGATTTATGAAAGTCAAGACAGGTAATGAATTTTTTACTGTCATATTATAATTTAGATACTTGCCAGCGGTTGATTCAGTGTGCCCAATATTACCCTTCACTGATCCTATATGGATAGGCTTCTTTCTAGTACTTGTACAATAAACTGTTTCTATGGATTTCAGTTCTTTTTCATCTCCAACCACTGAACCAGTACCGTTGGCTTCAATGTAGTCAACTTGATCAGAATGTAATCCACTTTTTTTCAAAACAAGTTTGTTCATATTTTCCTGCATCGTCAGAGAAGGAACGGTCAACCCTAAAAGAACACCTACTTTTATATATTTCACCTAAAGTATCTTTTTTAATCACCGCAATCAATATTTAGTGTCAATCAATATTTAAAAACCACTCTTATTAAGTATTAAGAATCCTCGCCTCGAATGAAGTCAAATATTTCTACACTATCAGTCGCGTTGCAAATTAATATTGAAGCGAGAAAAACTCTTGAGAAACACGAACACACTGCGTAGCGAAGGGTCTCAAATTATTTTTTAGGCAACAAAGAAACACTTTCAAAATCATACGACTTTTTCAACCACGATGAAAGACCAAAATGAATTTAGTTCCCCGATGAAATTTGAAAGAGTTTCTAATTATCTTTCTGTCTTTTGATTTTAATCGTTTCTGTTACTCTTGGCAATCAATCAGGTTTTTCTTTTATTTTTTCAGTATGAATCTTTTTGCTGTGTTCACCTTGATTCATTGAGTGTTGTCAGGTGCATGAAATAATCATGACTATCATTTGTCACTTAAGCTTGAAATACTAAAACTGGCTCACTAATCAGGCTTATGGTAATCCTTACAGAAATTTAATGTATTTTTGAGGTTTATTTGAAGTTGTTTTGAGGTGTCATGGTTGATTTGAAGTTTAGTCGAAGTTGATTTCAGAAACAACCATAAGATATCAAACTCCCAAGGTATATAATCCAGGTGTATGAAGTTGCTTCATTCACACTTAAGGTTGTTTTGTGGTTAATGGAAATCTACTTTAGAGCAACCCGGCTTAGGGATGTTGTTTTCGAGGCGTACGAATTATTTTTTCCACACTTCAAGCAAATACGCATATTTGAGGTGTGAATAATTGCACTCGATCTAAACTAAAATTATTTTTGTGTTATATATGAAGGTATATTTTGTAATGTGTAATTGAGGTTGAATTTGAGGTTTATTATCGAAGTAATTTTTGGTGCAAAACATAGCCTTATTTTCTACCTGAAGTGTATTTTACATCTGTCAACCACAAAACAACCTTAAAAACACCTCATTCTTTCTCAAGGGACGCGCCTGAAGAAATCATTTACTTCGAATTATAAGACATTGTTTATTAACATCAAATAATAGTAAGCTTAAATAGAGTTAATCAGAGCATTAGAGAAGAGAAGTCACGCAAGTTTAGAGCTTCAACATTCATATATTGAATATATTGTTCATATTGAAAGCGAACATTCAATATTCCACCAGGAATTACTACAGGGTTTGGCTGATCGCATTGTGTGGTTTACAATGCAGTTATTTCATGCGTTGCGAACCATCAAAGCTCGCAATAAGGTCAATTTATATCAAAGTCTTTTGGAAAAAATAAACATATGAATTTTGAAACTCTTTAGAGTGCAAAAATTGCCTGAAACGACTTATTTGTAAACATTTATTCCTTGCAAGAACCATTCAACCAAATTGTCAAAGAGAATTTTAATTGACGATAACCTCTGTTGAGAGAAAAAAATGCAATAGATGCTTTTTGCAGCGTTCAGGAGTACCTTGTATCATTGACATTATGGTTAAGAGTTCAGGCTGCTCTTTAACTACTCAGTATTTTGATTGATAATAAATTCAGTTCGGCGATAATATGAAAGAATTCTTATTGTTACTGTTGGAAAACAATTAAAACTTTTATTGTAAAGAGATTAAAAGCTTCAATTAAATTTTTATCACTTTATTCGCAATGTAATCAAAATTTCTCAACGAACTGAACCTGAAAATTTAAAATTTCCAATTAGTGGCTAGTGGCCTGGAAACTCTAATTATTTAGAACCCACTTTTTCTCAAATGAGTCAGTGACAGATAACGATAGGTCTTTTTCCTTTATTAGCTTTTTTTTGCAAATTTTTTTTCGCTTGAATTAAATTATGTTTTTAATAAAAATTAATATTAGAAATGATTTATGGCTATGAAAATTTAATTCATCAATAAAAATAATATAAATATGTGACAAAATTTAGTTAAACATACTATATTTAAAGAAATGTATTTAAAAATATTTGGGAGGGCAAAATACATTTAATGTATACATTACAACCTTGATATATATGAATTGTTAAGAAATTCTCCTTCCACATGAATCTTTTCGCAGCAGATTGATGGATTCTGAATAATCGAAATTTTAAATGGAAACATTGGACATTTAAAAAAAAAAATTGTTTTCCAGAGTCTTTTTCTGCATTGTTGTACTATTATCGTTAAACGATTTCCAAAAAAAATTATGGCCAAAAGTGGCGGGTTGTTTGTTTAATTTAAGCCGCCACATTTTTTGCTGAATCACCACGCTGTGAGTGGCTTTTTCATGTCTACAATGATAGTATTGATGTGGCGATATAACGATAAATTCCGTTTTCTGCGATAAAAAAAGACTGTCAATTGCTCTTTCACCACTCGAAAATAGGAAATGAGTTGTTAGAAAAATGCTCGATATTTTGACAGGTGATCAACTTCATTTGAACATATTATAGCAATAAATTTTGTGGGGGAATAGAAAACCATTGAAACATGCATTGTTATCAGAAATAGAGCTCCAGCTGAAAAGTGATCTTTCGGGCTAATTGAATTGTGGTCAAAATTTATTTGCTCGATAATTTCTATTCGATGATAATGTAACGATAATTACTGCTTCTTATTATAAAAAAAACTTGAAATTGGCCTTATTGTCAAGCACTAAAATGCAGCTACATTTTGAGCTTCTTACCAAGTCGGAAATTGGTCAGAATTTTGATTGACGTTTGCTTCTCAATAGCAAAAACAAACGAAAATAGGCTAAAACTTATATATCTTTAACTAATTTTAAATAGTTCGCGTTTTTATTGATGATAAGTTCTCTTTGGCAATAATACGGGAGAAATTTTACTTGTAACTATCAAAAAATGGAGAGGACTTGTATAATAATTTATCATTGAAGTAAAGTCAATAAAGTATTCTAACTAGTGTCAAATTGTTTTAAAGTTTGAGGAATAAATTCTGCCTTCATTGATAAGGAAATGATAAAGAATGTATTGCAAATTTTGCCAGTTAAATTTTGATTACTCTAGCCAGTAAAGAGTAGTCATAACTGTAATTGCAAGATTCCATCATTAAAGACAGAAAGAAAAGAAAATATACTTAATACCTTATAGACGGAGAATGTTCTTAAAGTTCCTTTTGAAAGTTACTTTTCTTATTAAATGCAGTGGAGGAGTTTTTGTTACCTTCACTAACGAATCCGGATGTGAAATATTCAGTGCCGAGAACAGTTGCGTAAGCCCGTCTGGCCATAGAAGCCCTTTGCAAAAAAATAGCAGCTACACCATCACTTCTTATCGTGCCATCAGCTAAGTAAACAATAATTATATTAGAATGTTTATACTCCTTATATCACAACTCATACCATATAAGAATCTCGTTATAAGAGCCAAAACGATAAAACCAAACGAATTAGAAAAAAAATCATAGTTTTCTAATGACTTATCAATTGTTATAAATAATGATTATTTTCAGGTTTAAGTGTTAAAGGCTTCAAGCGCACAAACGCTATCGTTTCGACCTGACGTAGAGGAAACAGAGACCGTTTATCCACACTGAAGAAGGTTCTGAACGCAATTTTTATATGATGCATGCTTGTTTACTACATATGATGCATGCTTGTTTAAGGCATTCGCTGTGTCACATGGTTAATGCTTATAGTCAACAATAATATATCAAAGCGGTCATTAGTTTTCTGCACAAATGGGTGGTCCTTACGATCTTGGAACTGTTCAATTTCGAATGTTCTTCATTACTAGAATCTTCATTATTAGAACGTTCTTTATTTTGAACGTTTTTCACAATTAGAATTGACGATAAAACATGTCTGTTCAGAACCACTTTATTTTTTTTTCACTTTTCATGTTGTATAGCTTTATTTAAGGTCTATTTCCCTTGCATAGTTTTCCTCGTAAATTAGTAGATAACCAACCAGTTTATTAAAGACGAATAAAGTTTTATATTTGTAAGCTAACTAGCGTCATGCCAAAACATAAAAAGCTGGTAGTTAAGTTTTCACACGAGAGTCTAAATACTCACTTTTTACCGCTCCAATTATTTTAAGTATATATTTCTGTTGGAGAACCTCTGCTAGGGATTTCTGTTCTCAGAATATTAACTTGGAGCAAAGATTTTTCAAATATCCTCTTAGAAATTTTAATACTAGTCTTTTAGTTTTGGGAGAGCGTTTGTCAGCTTAATAGTTAATTAAAAATCCTTAATTTTCTATTTGTTTACATATTTTTTTGTAATAAAAACTTGTTTTAAAATTATTAAAAATAGCATAAACGATTTCAAAATTAATTAAATAAATTGAAAAAGCGAAGGAAAAATATAAATAAAGTGAATAAATACAGTGTAAGGACTCTATCTACAACTGAGCCTAAATTATTTGTAAATATAAATTGTTGATTTTTATGACCAACCTATCCCAAAATTTACTAATACCACAGAAGTATAAATTTGCAGCTTACACAACCATAGAAAAAAGTCTTTCCGTACATATAAGTTAAAAGTTAATAAAAGTGAAAATTTAAGAATCCCTAGTTTGACATAAACTATGCAAATAAAGAAATAAGTTCTTACCATCCTCATCAAATGGAGCGCAAATACCTGAAGTGGAAATTATGCCAGCCTTTATCATAAGATGAAGATTTTGCGGAAGCAAATTAATTTGACAGCTGTTAACAATTGCTCCATCTATTTTACCATCTTTTAAATCGGTGTAAGCTGCATAGAATGCTGCTAATGAAGAAGAACAGGATGTATCTATCACCATGCTTGGACCTAAAATATATTTTAAAAATAGGTACTTCAGCTCAAGTGACCTAACTGAGGACCTATGACATATATAGTAATTATATATTACTTCCATCTAAAACTTCGTTGCAGTCAATTTTATTACTATTTCTGTAGAATGGCCAAGGAAGAACATCACGAATAACCAAAGGAAAAAGAGAAAAGAATGACAAGCAGAAAAAGAACAAAAGAATGAAACTGTTTACAAAATGTACATGGAGCGAAAGCTTCTTGCGACGATAAGTTCACAATTTCATTTTCAGAAGAAGAGTGCGCACTTTTTTCACATACATCATATAGTTATTCTCTTTCATGACATATGATCCACATATACTTATCCAGAATCGTATATCGTAGGAAGGAATCATAAGATCGGATGAAGATGCTTTAAATTCTCAAAATATTTATTAAATTGAATGGTAATTCAGTTCCTAAAAGACATTCAAACACGAGAGTGGGTCGTTAAAGGTCCCTGGATTTGGAAATCGCCTTCTGTTAATTAGAGAAATGGCTATAATTTTATGAAGGTTTAAAAATTTCCTTCGCATTGCTTTGCAATCGCAATTCATTCAATCCTAAGACACGTTTAAAATAGCAAGGAAATGTGCTATACTTTTTTTTTCAAATAGAAATTTTATTCTCTTAATCTTATTCTTTATTTGAGAAATCTACTATGATCCAGTATTATTAGAATGAATTCTTAGTTATTACTATGAGCTTGAAAGACAAAAATAGTATAGTTTTTTGAATCATTTTTATTACAGATTTAAAAATTTTTTTTTCTTTATTAGATAAGAGTTCTTTCTTCCAGTTTAAAAATTTATTTCTAATGAAAAAAATAATCTATGAAAATAAAAGAAATTCGTCCCTCTGTTGACTCCTTAACTGCTTGTGCTAGGGTCAAAAAATTTAGACACCAGTCGAGAGAGGATTGAGAGAGTAAAGTATTTCTACAGATCCCAAAAATTGTTTAGAAAATTCAACTAAACTGTTTAGGAGAGGGATTTGAAAGATGACATTTTTCCTCATTGTTTTTTTCATCCGCCATTGTTTTAAATTGAACTTCTAATGATTTTGCAAATTTAAATGTTTTTAAGAAAAGATCAGTGATGCTTGTTAGCTTAAAGCTGTAATTTATCGAGAAAAGAGTTAATTTCACGCACTTTAATACTTTATTTATTCATTTTGTGATATAAACTCAATTTTCAACGCGAAGGTTTAGTTGCAGACTACGTCAGTCACTAAATTAGTATTCCCAGTGTTACATAAGTACTTCTGCTTTATTTATCTATAGTTACGCATTCGAAACATATTTTAATGAAACTAAGCAATTTAAAATCAACTATAATACTATTAAAAACAGAAAAAAGTTTGTACTAAGATGCGAAATCAAAAGAGAAAGGGTACTTTCAGAAAGCCGAAAAAATTCGCCGTGGTATCTTGATGCCAATGGTGCTTAAATGATTTTGGTAATAGGTACTATTTGTATTGTGGTATTAAGTACTTTTTTTAATAGGTACCAATTGTACTTATAAAGGGTACTTAGTTTTAATATCAAGATACCAAATATAGGTACTGTGGCAATAAATTTCTTATGGTCACCAGAAAGTAAAGTACTTGAAAAAATTTCAAAAAACGTGCTTTGCTTAGCTACTAATTTAAAGTCACTGGAAAGAATAACAAACAATACCAAGGGAAAAAAAGTTGGACTTACTTCCCCCTAATCTATTATTTGTGAAGCAGTGAGGGAGCAAAAGCAAGCCCTATTCGCAAAAAGTAGCCCGCAAAGGTTTTTTTTTTGTGTTTATTTTAATTGATTTGGTGATGTTGCTGCTGAATTTTCCCTCTACAAATAGGTGAGTGGTGCCCTCTAGGTCAAAAACTCTGACCTGAAATAAGGTGTATTGTGATTTCTTTCCAGATATTTCACAAAGTTACGTATTATAAGAGTGTAAATACAAAAGTTGTGGATCGGTGAATTTCACGTAAGATGAGTATCCAATATGATACATTTTGTTTAAGTTTTTGTTTGCTTCCTCAGCTAATAAGTAAAAAAAAAGAAAAAAGTAAAAAAAAATGTCCTACAAATAGTGTATTTTTTTCACAAGTTATTTAGCAGACAACGCTTTGTATTGAAAAAGTGTAAATATGAAAGTTGTCGCCTAATCGCCTAAAGTGAATAGCTAAATGATATATTTTAGTTAAATGCTCCCTTGACCTATTGTAAGATTTGGCTAAAATTATCACCTTTTTAAACAAATTTCTTTTTTACCAAAGTTAATACTGAAATGAAGTATGAAATATTTTTCCAATCCTATTTTTTACGGCTGTTTTCTTGATGCTTTGAAAACACTTTTTTCCACTAAAAAAATATATCCTGATTTCACAATTCTCAGTACACCCTATGACGAGGTCAGCGTAGGTCAAAAGACGCGACGTGAAAGATTTTTTTCAAAAAAAAAAAAAAAAAAAAAAAAAAAAAAAAAAAAAAAAAAAAAAGATTACTACATCCTCACCAAAAAATGGTACTTTTAATAGGGTTCTTTGATGTCTCTTTGACAATTTTTATTATCAACGTGATATTCTACTCAGTTAAATATCGTTATTTCAAACAAAACTTAAGGGAAGACAGATTACGATTAAAAGAAAATGATTTTTCATTTTAAATATCAAAACTACCAGTTGTGGAATATTAATATAGTAAAAGCTCGACATAACAATCCGATTACTCCAAACTGATATTATAACATAAGATGTGTGTACAAAAATATGGTAAATATCTCCTATATAACTAATAAGTACTGAACTCATTTTGACAAATTATGCAAAACTTATAAATAGGAAGCTGCAAGATTGTTGGCCATATCGCATGATTTTAATGATGATTTTTAAATATAAATATAATTTCAAAAAATACATTATAAGAGATGTACAAAATAAATTATAAGATAAGGAAACGTGGGCCGTGATAGCCCAGAGGTTAGAGAATCGAACTCCGATCCGGAGGAGCTAGGGTTCGATTCTCGACTCCGCTTAAACCCATCGAGTACATGCTATATACATGCTCGTAAAATCTGTGGAATCGAAAGTCCTCTGTTCGGTCCCTGTGCAGTTCCATGGATAAAACCTCTTTCACTTTCAGATCTATGTCTGAATTGAAGATGTGACCTAAAGAATGTGTGGTTCTGTCAATTTTTTTCTCTCCAACATTTAGTGTGGTAGCAAATTTTATGATTTAGCATTTGAGTTAAGCCGATATTGATTACCACTTTTATTAGATAATTCAATGATCTATATAAAGCAGGGTTTCTTAACCTGTGGTTTATGAATCCCTAAGGGGTCCATGAGTCTTATTTTGGGGGTCCGCTAACTACTCCTAATTTTTAAAACGTTTGGAAGCCTACCCATTGCCTGTAAAGCGATCTATGGCAGCTATAATTCCGTTTGCTACGGTGTATCTTTGCGAAGCGGTATTTTCGACACTCGTGACAATAAAAACAAAACATCGAAATCGATTGAATGTTGAACAAGATATGCGCGTTGCTTTGTTGAAAACTATCCCCCAATTCAATTTGTTGATTAAGGAAAAGCAGCAGCAACCTTCACATTAAAAATTTTAATTATAAAAACTTTGTATACTATTAAAATAATAAAATTAAACTAGGAGGATCCGCCCCCTGCTCGCTAACGCTAGCCAACCCCTGAGAATTGCTACGCAATCCTATGTGGTTCACGCCGCGCTCGCTCGCCAATGAACACAATGTTCTAGCACAAAGGCATAATATATTATCATCAAAGACATAGTATTTTATCATCAAAGACATAGTATTGTACTTATGTAGAAGAATTCTACCAATGTTCTTATTGGCTTTTAAAAAAGTATGTTAGCTATTTAGATTGTACATGGTGAAAAAATCAAAACATTAGCTAAATACGAAACATATTAGCAAAATAAATTATCAAATATTGCTTCACTAATATTCTGCATTTTAAAGCGTGAAAATTCAATGCATAAATAAACGCGAAATATAAAAAAATTCAATGCATTCAATACAAACACTTAAACGTTTTTTAGACGTTTAGGTAGCTCCCAGTAGAAAAATATCAATTCAACAGCGGCCTTTTAAAGCATTCTCACTTCAATTAATTAATTAATTCCTAATTGAGTTTAAATTAAATATTGTCATGTTTTTAGTGCATGAATCTGAATTGAACAACCTGATAATGCTCACTCTGGTTATTGTTATCTGGTTGCTCACTACGTGCTCTTGCGCGCCGAATCCAATCAATTAAAAATGAAAACTGTTGCCAGCGCGAGAAAAGAAATATCATCGGTTTTATTGATACATACATGCATACGTACGTATTAGCGTTTTATATAATATAGATGTTTTCTAATAATGGATGGTTTTTGCAATAAATGTTTTCACAGGAGAGTGGTCCGTGACTTCTTAAAAAATTTTAAAGGGGGTCCATTATATCAAAAAGGTTAAGAAACACTGATATAAAGGGACTGATTAATATTTGGTGATGATTTTAAGTGCTGATGAAATTTCTGGCATATTTAGATACTTGCATGTCATTTTAATAAACACTTATACAATGTGTAGAGTTAAAACTTTCTGGTTTGCAGCAATCCAATTGAGTCAACTTCAGAGTAGGATATAAAAGAGCTGATTAATATTTGGTGATGATTTTAACTGCTGATGAAATTTTGAATATATTTAGGTACTTGCCCGTCATTTTACTGAAAATGTGTACAATGTGTAGAGTTAAAACGTTCTGGTTTGCAGCAATCCAGTTAAGTCAACTTCAGAGTACCTAATGCAGCAGAAACTATAAATTTTCAGCTTTTGTATATAATCTGTGATGATGTAGTTCGTTATTTTCTAGAAAGTTTCATCAATCTACAAAGGCATATTTTCAGGTCAAGCTTTAAGATCAATGGTTATTTTAATGTGGGGGGGGGGGATAATCGCAATATATATGGTAACCTCGAGCGCCATAGAGGACCACGATTGTAACGCTGACGTTCATTTTTCTTATGTTTGGGGCCTTATACGGTGGCTCTTTTGGCTCTTTGGGGCTCATTTTTCTTATGTTTGATCTCGGTAATGATGAAGCGGACCAGTTTACCAATACGCGACTTTCTTTGATATTGATCTTCCGATGTCTGTCTCGTTGTCACACTGAAAACATGTAACGTGGGAAAAAACTGTTTTGGACTGAAATACTTAATTCTTAGCTTCACCAAAAGCAGTGTGGACAAAAAAAAAATTTCCCAACTATTTTTCAGCTGTCGGAGCGTAGGAAATATTTTACTGAAATTAACACAGATTCTTACAGGACATGGAAATTTTAACAGCTGTTTGTTCAGGTTTAATTTAATGAATTTTATTTTACTACTGCCGTTGAACAGCCAACCTAATTTTGGGCTTACGACTAAGAATGTTCAACTCCGTATAATTGTAATTTCAAATCCAATCCAGAAGGCAAGGGAACTTTTAGACCAAGTATTGAGGGAGATTTGCCTTCGTGGAGGACTTTTTGATGGAACTTACTCGCATTTGCATTACATGAAGAGGACAACCCCGAAAACCTTCCTCGGTTAGCCTGATAGCAAGGGGGTTCTAACCCATGATCCATCTACCACCGTATCACTGCACCTTCTGCCACGTCAGCACTGTTGTCAGTACGAGCCGGGTGAGGGATTCCAATCGCAGGGATTCGAACCCGGTTCACGTCATTGGGAAGTGAGCTCTCTATCCCCTGAGCTATCACGGCTCTAATTTAGTGAACTGTAATCTTTGCTCCTGTGGTCAGAATGTTGAAACTCTAGAACACATTATCTTTTATTTAATTTATATTCAAGTCAAAGAAAAAACTTAAAATACAAAATTGAGACAATCAGTTTTTTCTTCTTCTTTTTTTTGTGACTACCTGTTTAGTTCTTGATTGTTAAATGCATTTAAAACTTAAATATTTTACGCAATTTTGTTTCCAATTTAAACTTCAAATTTTCTTCTATTTCTTTTTAATTTAAAATTGTACTTTGTCCACTCACATCTGTAAGTCTCATGTTGTACTTTGTGAAACATGAGGAGTTGAGAAATAAATTTAAATAATAAAAAACATAGATTAAGTAGCCTTTATCCAAACGATAGTTTTAACGAAATGTTTTTTTTAACTTCATTTTCAGCTTTAAGTCTAGCAAAAAATGATATATACTTAAAAAGTTGTCAATTTAGGTTAACTTTCACAATAGGTCAAGTAAGCATATTTGAATTAAAATATATCATTTTGGGAAAGTTTGCAAAATTTACCGATCTAAAATTTATACTTCTTCAATACAGAGCTTTGTTTGTGAGATAACTGGGAAAAACAAACAAACACAAATATGCTCTATTTAAGGCCACGTTTTTTGACCTTAGAGAAAACGCCCAGCTCTCCCTAGGAGGAAACTTAGGTATGTCATGTTGAAGCCTTACTAAAGCATTTAAAACGAAATCCTTTGATTGCAATTTTTTTCCGTATTAAAACCCCGAACTATCGACCAATCAGTTTGGTGCATGATTTTTCACTGTTGGTTAGCACCGATTAATTAATTAATTATTTATTTTTACCTCATACTAAGAACAGATATCCATTTAGTTGTAAATAAATTGGTATACTTACCGTGCAAATTAAAGAAATATGTTATGCGATTGGCATTTACAAATTTTGTCCAAGAGTATCCCTCATGCTGTAAATCTGACTGGCAATAACCCAAAATAAAGAAATCGGTCGAACTGTTTGCATTGTAAACACCTATATTTGCACCATATACACCCGGAAGATCATAACCTGAAATTATAGATGGAGAGTCTATAATCGGATAATAGTTTCATTTGTTGGCTATAGGCAAATATTTAAAATTGAATGTGATTTTTTTTCTCTACACAATCATATTTAAATGTCTTATTCAAGATAAAAATAAAATTTTTAAACTTGTTGGTATGTGAAAACATATGTAATTTTTTTTCTCAATAAAATCTGCATTAATGTATTAACATAAGTAAAAAAAATTAAAAAGTTACTTTCACTACTTTTTGAATTTTTCTTACAACTTGAAAAAATACTTTTTTCGTGCAAAATTGTAAAAGTGAAGAATACTTGCGTAAAACACTTTTTTTGATTTATCAAAACGTTTATGTGACTTTCTATCAAAACGTTTAGTAGGGAACATATTAAACTTCTGGAAAATAATCGTCTGAGTTTTCTTTCATTATTAGCAGCAATAATTCTAAAAATAATATGCAAAGCAACGCAATATGTATTAGTTTAGGAAAGACAAAAATATTATTGGATCACTGAAAATAACTATAAAATTTTAAAAACATAAAATATTAATCTGTCTGCCATCTAGTCATCTGCATTGTCGTTCTTACATGCTACCTGGTTGTGGAATAAAAAATTATGATATACTAGCATATTAATACTCTTTCAAATCCACCGTATTAGTATAAATAGTTTAAATAATTGAAAACAAAAGACTGTTTAATATTAACCACATTCAAGCCTTGAAAAAAAATGAAAAACTTTTAACGATCATTGTTCAAAAAATAAATCAAAGTTCGCATTAAAGCAATACTGTATTTTTTTAAAAAAAAAAAAAAAAAAAAAAAAAAAACAATTTAAGCTGTGAAATAAGTAAATATTTCAAATTTAAATAAAAGATTTCTTTAACAATGACATGCTGGACAATTGGCGTTGAAAAATCAATGCGGCAAGAGGTTTCAATATAATCCATTATTTCATTAATAAAATTTCTCTGAAACAGAACACAAATAACTTGAAATTTCAATTTTTCCAAGTTTTTAACGTCTTTTTCCCTGATGTTTAGTTTAGGTTTTATATCCCATGTGTGTTAACTGAGTTTAAGCTCTTTTAAATATGATGCATATGAACCATGAGTAAAGATTTTTGTTTTAATTTGTTGTTTTTTTAAAAAACATTTTTTTCAAAATTTCTCTTTATAAAATATGTTCGAATCTTCTATAAGTTATTATCTTTATAAAATATTGTACAATTAAATTCGAATACGTTTGCGTATATTTTTTACCTTGATTAAACCTCTGCGAATGTGATTGAATGACACGAAATACACATTGCGGTATAGGATTTTAGTAATCATCCGCAACCTGCATAGAGTTCCGTTTTATTTCATTTTCAAATTATACAAATATGCTTTTAAAATTATATAAAAGCTTTTAAAAGTTAAACACGTCAGACAGAGACTTAATCCGTGCTATCTTTTACGATATATATCATAGAATTACTAAAAAAATGGGGTTATAGTTTCTTAGTCTTACTGGAATTCTAGACTTGGCAACATTATTTCGATAAATAAGGAGAACATTCGTTCGTGAAAAAGAAGCATCTATATGTTTGAAAAGCACTGGATTTGATCCGACCACTAAAAAAGGCGTGTCTTATGCTGACATGCAATTAACAAATCAAATGCTAAATAAAAATTTTTTATTTTTGCTTCTTTGTAGAAGAACACCTTCTGCAAGAAAAGATGTTTATTATTCGTTCATCAGTTTCTTCGGAAAGGCGTACATTTGCATTGACGCATATTTATGGAAGCCAAACAATAGTCTTTATTCAATCAGTATTGTTTTCCTCATTTCACACGATGTAAGAAAGCAAGCAAAAAGAAGACTGTGCCGTTGCAAAAGTTGATATGCTTTCGCGCTCGAAGCTTGGTATCCATTTGGCGCGCACTTAGAGGCAAACAGGCTCACTCCATATCTATAATGGCTTTTTCTTAATTTGCAACATGGTGAAACTCTCATTGATTTTTAAAAAAGCTGGCAATTCATCAAAAATCTCCTTTTTAGTTGGTAAAGATGTTTTTCTTATTTTTTATTTTTATTTCCAATGGCAGACATGAATGACAAATTTGTAGCTGAGAACAATACAAAGAAAGAACAAAAAACGGAAGCAAGAGCAACAAAAAAAGAAAGAGTCTTTAGGTCTCTAATAATGTATCTCGCCCGCCAATAACGTTCCCACAAGGGCCCAGGAGGAAGTGCAGGGCAACGTCTCAGATTGTTAGCGTCCCTTTCTTCTTGCAGATTACATAATAGACAAAAGGGGCTTGAAAAGATTTTGATTCTGTACAGGTGTTTTGATAAACAGTCATGGCCAGTGGCAAGGCGATAAAGGGCCACAGATTTTTCTCTTGGCCATGACGGAATATCTTTAATTCCTTCCAGCCAGTCCTTATCTTTATTTGCTTCTTGAAGTTTTGCCTCAAATGTTGTTCGAAGAGAGATTTTTATTAGCCTTTTTGCGGTGTTGAAAGGAACTGGCTTAAGAGATATTTGAAGAATTTTGGCGGCTTCTTTGGCCAAGAAATCTGCAGTTTCGTTACCTTGAAGTCTACAGTGAGCTGGTACCCATTGCATGGCGACATAAAGTAAGGCATTGGGGAAAGATTTTGGTGGTTTAAAATTGTTTTCCTCATCTCTGTCAGATTCTGCGTTTTACAAAAAATTCTTCTTGAAAATAAACATAGATGTATCAACAGTATGCCCCGTTCAATGTTTACTGTAGCAGCATCTTCTGTTAATTATTACAGTTCCCACCCATAATTTCACACTAAACAATGTATCATTATGGCTTCGACGAGTCTTCAAAAGATCATCACATTGAGACCGATGAAAAAAGAAAGGAAATCCGTTCAAAGTTTGGAGATGGTTTACATCTAAGAGCTACGTAAGATCCTGCTAGATTTATTTAATTAAATTATTATTAATATTATTAATCCAAACAGATAACCACGTTAGGCTAAATGTGATTTTACCTGCATCGGCAAATGCCTCATAAGTCACTTCAAGCAGTTTTCTGCACCCTGGGTCCATAGAATTTATTAATGTGTGTGGCATACTAAAGAAGTCCACTTCAAATTTATCCAAGTTCCTTATACATCCAGATGATCCAACGGGATTATCATATACACCTTAAAATAGTATGGAATACATAAATTTAGGTTTAAAATATTTTTTCCATTACCCTATTTTCATTCTTACCTTAAATTTAAAACTGGGAAAACTTTAAGAACAACATTTGCAAGGCCCTGCAATTTTCTCTCAGGCGCCATAGTTTCATCTAACACTGTATTTCCTTAAGTTTTATTCACTGAGTAAAGATTTTATTTGCGAATTACAGAGAAAATATTTTGTTTAAAAAAAATTTATTTACTGTTAAAATGAAAATACCTGTAGGAAGCTGAGTAATAGTGTTTGTAAATACTTACATTTTTTTGAAAACATGAGTTGAATAAAAAGTATTTGTAAAAATTAATTTTGATTAAATAAAGAATATTTTATTTTATTCTGAACTGAAAAAAAATTAATAACTGCAAAAGTATTGTTTAGGTGTTAAACGTATTGTGTTTTTTAAATATGAAATTCAAGTTAATGTTCTGATACAGTGCTAAAAGGGATCTCTCCAATTGAAGAAACTTGTTCCGTCCCGAGCATCTGATTTCAGTCAGTGACGTCACGGCGGCGCCGCATCAACTTCTCGCTTTAAAAATAAATTATTCATCATTTAACTAGTATTCTTTTTTTGAAACTTATTTCAATGCATTCATTATTTTTCATATTCTTTTTATTTTGAGGCAATATTCTTCTCATCTGATTGGAAAAAATTTAACAGTAGTAGTCAAATATCAGCTTGCGCGATAGCGACCAGTAAGAATTATAAAGCACAAAATGAGAAAACGTAATTTTTCATGTTTTACCTCGGAAAATATAAAGGAGACATCAAATGAATTAGGAAATGTATTATAAGAATTTATGCTGCTGTGAATAAAAAGCATTATGTTTTTTGTTTTTCGCTTAGACTTTTAAGAACTTTTATTAGAATTTTGCTATTGATAACGAAAAGAAGAAAATGCAGTAAGTTTTCATATCAGTAAGTTTTCATATCATTTACTTACGATTTTCGAGATCTCTGTGCTGCGTGACGTCATGAGGTGAGGAATCGTAGCTTCCGTTTTGAGCTAGGACTGAACCAGCCCTTCTCTAACTTCTCTTCAGCCCTGGTACTGATATGGATATTTTTGTTTTTTTCAGCGCTACTCATTCATTTGAGTAAATTTTAGTACCATCTTCATTGTAAAAGCCAATTTAACCCTTCTAGGAATTTTATATTTCTTTATTTTTTTTTAAATTTCTTAAAAATCCTAATTTATTTAATTCTATTTAAATCCTAAATTTATATATCTTTATTTTTTCATAACTATTATTATGGTACTGGGACATGCTACAGTTTAAAGCCCAGTTAATATCACTTTGAAATATGAATTGAGAGTTTGATTAATTATTTGATTGGTAATTAATATTTCTTTCTCTTTATTTATATTTTGTGGTTTATTCAGTTTCTCACCAAGTGACTTTACTTACTTTATTGTTGCATTGTGTTGGATAAATTTGCCCCATTTTGATATTTTATCATTATCTACGCCATTAAAAATCGTTATACATGCAGGTTTCATGACTTTACGTTGATTTAGTAAAATACTCGAATCAGAAGATGCGAAGTTGCAATCATTATCAGTATTTTTTATGCAGTCCGCAATAATTACTGCAATCAGTATCAGCTTTTGTTGCAGAGAATCATACATCCAAGCTAGTTTTAATAAAATAAAGCTGAAGGAAATTCCTCTGAATTACTAATAGATACCATGAGCTTATCATCATAGTATTCGTCACTGCTTTTTATTCAAATGCCAGAGGATACCTAATAACATGAACTAATGTGAAATGCAAGCTTTACATAATTTATTTTTACATAAAATAGTACAATCCAAATTAAGCATATAGAGAACATAGTATAAGTTGTTGAAAAAAATTAAGATTTCGATAAAAATGAAAGTACGATTTCATGTGCAATAAAGCATTGCTTACAACTTATTGTCGCTTTGAAACTAAACCGTGGTAACTCAAAAAAGCAAGTTTCTCAGGAGAGCGATTTCTAACTTTTCAGGAATTTCCACCGCAGGTTGACTCGAAGATATGGCGACTATTGCAAAATAGTTTACATTTAAAAAAAACTTGTTTTTTTTGCATTTTTCAATGAACTAGGCTTGATTCCTGTAGCATTTATAATTTTGTGGTAATTTCGGAATAAGTTAAGGTACTTTGAGTTGCAACACTTTTCTCTAAAACTTTTATCAAAAGTGGAGAGTTATTTCAAAATACAACGATGTTCTTCAAAATTTCCTCCCCAATATTACGTACTTCATTTCAAATTTTAACATACAACAGTGTAGAAAAAAAATCGCTCTCCTGAACGACTTGCTTTTTTGAGTTACTACGGTTTGGTTTCAAAGTGACGTTATGACTAAAATTAGGAGTTATTCATAAAATGTAAGCAATACATTATGAGTTGAAATTAAAAAAGACACTAATTTTCCTTGCTCTTACTTTAGCAGAATAAAATTAATTTTTGTAATTGAAGAATATTTAGTACTTGTATATTCGATAGGAGGAATTTTTTTTTTAATATTAAAATTTCTTGCCCTTTTTCTCAGGCGCTCGTTAACTGTTGCCTAGCTTCACCTACTATCCACCTTGTCGCGACTATTTCTTTAAGCAACCTTTTAAGATCACCAATTAGAAAAATATCAATTATCGTTTAAATCTATGTAATATTTACTCTATATTGCATTTATTTTGGCATAATTTTATCAAGAAATACCGTTTTGAGTAAGATTATAAATAAATTTGCACAACTCAAGGGCATACCTTTTGGAAATCTTTTGTTATCATAAAATACAAGTTTCTTTTTTGCATAGATACCCTCTTTGAGTTCTTTTATGTTATCACAACTTGGAAAACGGCCTGCCATGCCACTGATGACAATGTCATCAGGTTTAAGATCTCCCACACAATAATCATGGTAATCCTGTTCACACTCCTCAACTGCAAGAGGAAAAAAAACCATACATAATTTAAAAAAATTATTATATTTCCCCCCAAAACCTGATAATAACATCTCAAAGAATCAATTAAAGTTCAAGATTATTTTTTAAGTGAATGAAAGTTCATTATAACGACAATTCATAACAGCAGATTAAATTATCGTTATAACGAGCTCGTCGCTATAAGCAATTACGCGTATTTAATGTTAAACCGGTAGTAAAATTACTATTTTGATTTAGAGTACATATTTAGAGATGACTGATTTTGGAGAATTATGCTTTGTACATTGTGACATTATCTTTGAAGAAGTTTCGAAATCGTAATAAATTATAACAAGAAGTAAAAATGAAATGAAATGCAATAACTTATCACGTTATTGGTAACAGTGAATGTTGATTTTTATAGTAAGTTGTCAAAAGGGAAATAAGGGGGCATGTCTTTCTTAGCATAGCTCTATTGCTAGTTAGTAATTTGATTGAAGTATGTCAATATTTATTCACCAATAAGGTTTAGATTAAAATTGATGTCGTTTTGGCTTTATAAATATACCTTTCTGGGTTGTAATAAATGGTTATTTAATAATTTATTAAGTCTGTCCACACTACTACCGTGGTTTGTACACATGCTAGTACACATAGTGTGTACACATGTTTGTGCACATAGTGTGTACACATGTTTGTACACATAGTGTGTATTCATATTTGTACACATAGTTTGTACACATGTTGTGGGACTAGAGTTAACAAAAATCGTTTTTTTTTAATAAAATATATTAATTATGGAAAAATGAAAATATTTCGTTCTTCCAGATATAATCTACCAGATATAAACCGGAAAGCAGATAATCGTACAAATTATTGCTAAAAATACTTCATGAATAAAAAATTATATAAATTTTTTTTCTTTGCAAATTTTTAATTAATGTTCACACTAGCCCACCTCTCCCTTATCTGTTATTGCCAACAATTAAACCGGTTTTCATGCTTTCAGTTTCAACATCTTTTGCAGTAATCGATGCTATTTTTTTATCGAGTTTTTTATTTTTTTCTATTTGAATGTTAATTTTATTCACCCATTGTACATACTTTTTTGACTTCATTTTTTAATTGAATATACCTTAAGAGCGTATAATGTATATTCTAAAAATATCTATTAAGGGAGGTCATATCAGAATACTTTGCAATTACGAAAGTATAATTAATTAAAATTAAAAAATATACGTCAGCAAATATATTCGGCTTAATTTAGTACCAAATATTTTCTGTGATTCTTCAAACGCCATAATTGTGAATCCTATTGTGGATATTTTAAAATTAACTATTGCAAAAGTTTCAACACTTGAAATGAATGCAAATAAATACACTCAAAACTGAAGAATTATTTAAAAGATATTCTGGAAAAATTTTGCTTATCTAGGAGATTTAAATTTTATATTTTGGTTTGGATAGTATTCTTATACATGGGAAAGTGGAGTACAATATTTGAAATAGATCCCTTCTTAACCCCCACGTAGAATTTTTATTTTATTTTAAACTGTCACCCAATTAAAAATTTATTTAACATTAGCTGATAACCGGTTCTCAGTACAGGGCGAAAAATCAATAAATCGGTACTGAATAAAACTACGGATTTATGCACAAAATTGAAAGACATAATCAACACAATTAATGATCGAAGCTTAAATAATTCCAATATGTTTTATTAATTATTATATTTTGTCCTCCCCGGTGATTTCATGTTTTTAGATTATGCAAAATGAGTTCTTAGTTGTCAAAACTTCAATCAAAACTTCAAAAAGTCAAAACGTCATAAGTCAAACTTCGGAAGATTTTGACTTCCCTGAAGAAAAGATTTACTGGTTTCAATATCATTGGAAACATTTGTATTGAAGCGTTTGCTGAGGTCCACTCATTGTAAGCAAACTTTACCCCAAACAATTTTCACAGCTGCTTACTACCCTTGAAGAGCCGTTAAAATCTCTTTCCACATTTTCCATATTAAAACTGAACAGTAGTGATTCAGTTTCAATTGGTACTAAATAAACCAATGTAATACATTGTGCCTATATTAATGTACTTGAACTTATTAAAACTGCACCGATTACACTAATACCAGCACAAAGTATCGACAATCAGGGTGCTGGTTCTTTTTACCTGAATATGTTACAGGACATAAAGTTTCGTATATGGTAATTTTAACTGTAAAATCACTGAATCACTCGAATTAAATAAATATTGCTGTAAAAATTGAGGTATAAAATTTAACGGTAAAAATGGGTTTAACGGTAAAATGAATTTTACAGATGACGCACCCAAACTGCTGGTACTTTATATGGTAATTTGATCCGGAATTTTTTACAGTGTAGTGACTAATACCAAAATTAATTAAGCGTTATTAGCTCCAATTTTTTATGTTTCTTTTGAAGGAATTAGTAGTATTACTGCAATATTTTACTTCATAGTACATAATTTTTTTTTGTTCCAATTAGTATCTTTTTTGATGCAATGAGTACCTTAATTAAGCATTAAGGGCTTCAGTAATTGAATTGTGATTTTCATGATTTTCCTGAATATATTAGTACTAGATTTCATTAATTTAGTATATAATTTATTTTTTAATTTCAAATACCGTTAACTTAAAATTTTTTATTAATGTAAAAGCCTTTTTAACCCTATGCCGCAAATAGGACACCGATGTCTCTTTCATATATACTTTTTCTGGAGCTGAAATTTAGAAGCAAAAATATATTTTTCTATTTTTGAATTCGAAAAAACAGTCTAACAGTTACAAAAAATATCTGTTTGATTATGGGAATAGTATTTGTTCTAAAATATAAAATCCAAAAGAAGTAGTTTTAATTGTTTTTTATTTAATCATTTCGTAAAAATTTATCAATAATTGATTTCGTAAATTAAAGAAATTTCAATGACGAATAACTGTAATTAATTCTTGAAGATTTTACTTTAAACGCAGAAAAAGACAGCGGTGTTGCATGTTGTATTTGATCATTGAGTTTATCTGATACAAAGGCTAAAAGTGGTTTCGTGGTTTCACGTGATTTCAGATAGCTTTAGTAATTTCATTTCGCTGAAGTATTCTACGTATGCTACCACATTCACGTTGATCAATGAGTCTAACTGATATAAAGGGTAAAAAACAACTAAATATCAAAGAACATGCAATAAAATTCTTTTTTTAATGAGAGCTATAAGCTAAAAAAACACCACTGATATTTACTTAAAAAAATGAAGAATGGTGCAGTTAAATTTTTATAAATAACTGGTTTTAAATCCATGAAAAAAGTACATTTTTCTAACATATCTCCCGGATGACTTAAATAAAAGTTTTAAATGATTTTTAGAATCAGGATCTAAAATTACCACCTTTCAACCACTCTTTAAATTTCCATATGAAAAAATAAAATATGAAAAGATAACTGGGTTTAAACCCATGAATAAAGTACATTTTTTAAACTTATCTCCCCGATGAATTTAGCAAAAGTTTTGAATGATTTTTAGGATCGGGAACTAAAATTACCCCCTTTGAACCACTCTTCAATATGATAAAACAAATGGTTCTGGAGTTAACAGAGACACACAAACTACTCATTTTATTATTATAGAATTAAATCCATACTGTAAAAAATTTTAAATTTGAAGTTGAAGAGTTTATAATCCTTAATTTTTAAAATTTACAATAAAAAGTGACTTACCTAAGTTCCGAAACATGTTAAAATAGTTAATTTCTTCCTGTCTTTGTCTCAAAGTTTGTAAAAATATTTATAGGAGAAAAGTCTGACGTAATTTCAGTGTTGCATATACCCCTCCTTTTTAATTAGGTTTTGTTAACGTAAATCTCCAGAGGAAATTAAAGCGTTGCATAACTACAGTCATTAAGAAAGTGTTGTATTTCTATTTTCTTCAATGATTATTTGACGCTATTATTTATACAAATTATATATTTTTCCAAACATAATTGAGTCAATAGGTGTAACATTCTTATAACGTGCGTAATAATGCGTCAAAGATGAATGGTTATGGATATTAATGACTAACTACCATAAAAATATGCTTATTTTCTTTAATTAGAAGGAAGTAATTCAAGAGGTATAGATTAAAGTTCTATTTTCAGCAGTTTGGCTTAGTATATATTTATTAGGGCAATTAAGGTCTATTTTAGTTTAAGTTTGGCATGTATTAACCTTAATAGGTTTTTGTAACGTATTTGACCTTTTCTTACATTTTTTGAAATTCTTAATATATAGTCCCAGTGATCGGATTTAGCACACTACAAGTAGTGAAACTACTGTAGTCGCTACGTTTTTTTGTAGTTTGTAGTGTAGTGTGCTACTTTTTTAAAAAAACATTGTAGTGAATAGTGGCGATACAAAAAAAGTAGTTTGTAGTGATTCCTGACAACTACTTTTAACATTAGTTTTGAAAAAAAAACACGCTTCTAAAGCAAATAATTTTTCGAATTTGACGAGTACAAATCTTCACGAGTAAGTTAATGGATGCACAGTGGGCCAGCATCCAAGGTTTCGTGGCCAAAATTAGTATTTCGATAAAATTTGTTTCAAAATTTGGGGGGTTTTATGTGCAGGTAAATTGAATTCATAGTTGAAATTTTGAAATACGAAAAAAAAAATTTGAAATTACGAAATTTTGAAATACCAAAAAAAAAAAAAAAAAAAAAAAANAAAAAATTAAAAAAAAAAAAAAAAAAAAAAAATGGCGGCTCAAATATGGCGAGTAAAAAAAAGAATATATAGTGCGTTTAAATAATTAAATATAGCAATGAAAATATAATAGTTTTCGTAATTTTACATTAAAAATTAAAAGCAAATTATCTTTCCAAAATAATATTACAAAACAAAGCGAATTAATTACGAAATAACGCGATAACATGAAAAAAAAAATATAATTTTTGTTTTTCGGTATATTTAGTCCACCTTTGCATTATGGGCAAAATGGGGCAGGTTTTTTCGAAAGAAGAAACATCAAAGAAGACAACAAAAAAAAGTTTAGCTAATTATCTCGTGGAACTTTTTGTAGATAAGTTTCGAAAGTGATTCAAACATTGCAAAATGTCAAATGATAAGATATAAACTATAAGTTTATCAAGAGTATTAACTGATCCAACAAATTGAAAAATTGTACTATAATTTCAGACTAATTACTCTGATAAAAATGCAACAGTAAGGTGAAATTCCTATATAGATTTCTGAAATACAAATTTAAAAGTTACATTAAAAAAAATTTCTTTAACATATTTTTCACTACATTGTACTCTCGTTGGTCTAAAAAGTAAATTATAATGTTAGGAATGATTATGAATACTTAATTTGGGCTATATTAAAACTGCCTACACATATTTTAGTTGAAAATTTAATTTTGACTTTTGGCCAAAGATCATGGCCCACTGTGGGATGCAGTGAAAATGACCCCGTAGCCGCCGCACAGCTTTAACCTTCCGTTAGTCGCGCACTTGTTTCCGACATGGTTAGTCGCGTTGCACCTATGAGGTGTTTCTGATTTTTTGAAAGCCAAATGAAATTTAGTCTAGTTTAAATAGTTAATTGTTACCAATTTAAGACTCTTTAGAGAGATAAATATCAAAAAACTTATTTAGCGAAGTACCGAAGATAAATTTTTCTTGCTCCCGCGTCGGATCTCTTCTTCCATCACAAGATGTTCAACCAATTGACGCAAGAAGGTTCTGCGGTTTTTTACTCCGTAACCATTTTCTGTGTATATAACTTGACCATTTATACCTGCTACGTTGAGAAGGACAGAAAATGAGATAAAATATATATATTTAATTCAGAAAAATATTATATCCATAATACTTGCGTCAATGGTCGCGCTGCACCAGAGGGGTGATTTGAGCGGTTCCAACTCTCCATCGACATGTTCTAAGGTCGGTTTTACACGGACATTTGAGTAATCCAAAGTTAGGAACATAACATTAGGCTCGACCCCCGGAAAAATCTATTGACGGCAAAGGAGGTGGAAGTGCAGTAGGGATGCACCTGTGAGGTGCGCGCGACTAACGGAAGGTTAACAGAAATTTCGCATTTAAAATCACGTGTAAATAATATTGAAACAAGCCATTACGAAAAATAGATAATTAATCACCTTAGTCGCACTTTCCCACGCGAATGAATTCTCGCGAAACACTGATCTTATTTAAAAGGAAGGGAACGCATTTTCGATGTACCTAATTTCTTAGAGGAAAAAAAAGAGCATTAAACAATTAAAAAATTGCAATTATTTGATAATTTTGCGTTTCTTTAATTACATATTCGTTGTCGAAAAAGGCGTAAATGTTAAAGGTTAAATGAAAAAATTCGAAAAAAAAAATGTTTTGGAATAAGAAACTGGCTCATGTAAGCATGGATAAATATTTCTTAATTATTCCCTTATATTTAATGTTAACCAATTTCTTATTCAAAACCATTTTGAACATAGGTGTAAATTAAGTTCTCCAACAAAGTTCGTTTCCTTAAAATACTGAAGTTTGCATTGTTTGTAGTTAACTACATATGTAACAAAGTAGTTGTAATAAACTACAGAAATAATGTAGTTTTTTCGACCACTGTATAATCCATTTAAAATAATAAATATTACGGAAAATATTTTCAGAGCTTATATGAGTAAATATTATTTGTATTAACATATTTTTCTTAGAACTGAAATAAATTCAGTGTTGACTACCTAATTTCATACTTATCCAAATTCGTTTTCATTTAAACACAATCTGTTAATTTACAGGGCACATCAAACAATTCAATATGTGAACGTATTTTATTTCTACGACATTAGAAATTTAACTTCTTAGTGTTCAAAGGAAAAATTTTATTTCAGAAACGTTAAAATATTTGTAAGTCTATGATCAGTGCTTTCAATGATTACATTATCTAAGCAACGTTATTAAGGCCCAAATAGTGATTCAGATGTTTATTCAGAAAACGAAGTAAATTTAATTTTATCAGAAAAATATTACCCATTTAAAAGCTCTTACAAGATTTAAATGCCGTAATATTATCATTCTTCACTTTTATAAATATGGTTTAATGAATAATATTGATATTAGAGTCTCTTATTTCTTTCCTTTATGTGGAGTAATATCTCTCTGAATATGGTGTTAAATAACCCCCCCCCCCCAAAAAAAAAATGGTGTGAAGAAGCACTTTATTTTAAGTTCGTACCATATCGAATTTTTACATACAATTTAAGGGTGTAATTTAAATTTAGACACCTAAAGTAGTGAAAGTTAGCACCAATCTCATCGAATTAATTTCACTCCCGAAAACACTAATGTTGGCGCACTTTGAATACTGTCAGTAAAGTTTTTACAATGTAATACGAGTTGGCGTGAATTTATTGTTATCTTCTATGCCACTGTACAAAAGGAGACAAAAGTTCGCTTTAAAAATATGCATCCATGTTTATAGTTGTGTATTAAAGAAAATTGTATTTTAAATATTTATTCTCCGCCAACTGTTTTAAATGATTTTAGAACGTATAATTTCTATCCATTTCCGTTCCGTTAAGCTTAATTCCAGTTCCTCTTAATATTCTCTCTGTGCTATGGGTATGCCTAATTAACAAACTGATTTTATTTTAAAATCATATATTTATGTGTTATAGTCAATGTGAACAGTCGGTTATTATTAATACCAACCGGACAGTATTAATAATAACCAAATAAGCCGGTTAAGGTGAATAATTTAAGCGAATTTATCACATAAACCGGTTATTATTAATAATAACCAATGAAGTTTGGTCTATGTCATTGTTTCGCGTTTTTATTGGGGATATTTCCGTGTCGTTATCTGCCCCGCCAACTGCAATCACCAAGGCACCAAATTGATTTTAAACTGGAAAAATAAAAAAAAAAAAAACAAAAAAAAAAAAACATGTAGATATTTGACCGGGGTGGCTACGAGTTATACCCTTCGAGTTGGTACCTTTCTGTGATTTATTTTTAGTTTCTCGAAGGTCGCTGCCCGGAAGTTGCCAATACTTGGCCATTATTCTGCCACTGGTCATGATACGGAAATCTTCCTTTTGACAAAAAGAAGCGGTTATTATTAACTTTGACCGGTTAGCATCAAGGATAACCAGATTTATCACTTCAACCGTAACACATGAACAAACAGGCACACCCAAATCCCAATGCTATATAAACTGTTTGATGACATTGATCAAACATCATTGGTTATTATTAATAATAGCCGGTTAAAATAAATAATTTGCGATATTTCTCACTTTGACCAAACGAAGCGGTTATTATTAATATTGACCAGTTAGTATTATTAATAATCGGATTTATTACTTTAACCGTAACATATACATCCTAAATTGATGATTCTTACTTAATAATGTATCGTAAAAATAATTTTATTTAATCTTTTTTTTTTCCTTCTTTTTTTTTCCAACTCGCACCTGGAGAATGACCTAGGTTATACAGGTATCTGAAGGGCAGATTTGTTAATAATTTGCTTATTTTTTTTTGTTAATCGGATTTGATCGCCGACATTGAACAAAAGGTCCAAATAGTGGAGTCGGAATTTTTATGTTTAACTTCACAAAATTATAATTTTGGATCCAATCCAGAAAATTAAGAAATTCCTTAATCAATCTCAGGGGAAAATTTACCTTCACTAGAAACTTGGAATTACCTGGAAATGAAAAGCACAAAAAATTTTACGACTTCTAACCGGGCCGATTGAAAATCGAATTTATTAAAACAGAACGTGAGAGTCACGCTTTCCGGATAAAATGTAATTAAAAGTTAACGATTGATAATTTTTCATTCGTGCAAAAACAGAAAAATTCAAGATTGGTATATATATATTTCAATTTTATGGTACATATATAGATTTATTCCCTGTTTCAAA